ATATATATTTATATTATTTTTATATTAATTGTATATTTTTATATTTTGTATTATATATATATATATATATTAAAATATGTACGAATAATATATAAGTAAAAAAACATATCAGATATCTTCTTTAAGTTTGGTCACAATTTAATTTAGGGATAGTTAAAAATTGGAATAAAATTTAAAAATTCTCGAACGCATCTATCGATCGAAAATTAATTCAAAATCAGTTTGACAATACTATAGTATAGTATACTATATCTATGAGTTTACGATAGTGAAAAAGAAGATAGATAGTATATATATTTATATACATAAGAACGTGAAAATATTTACTCCGGTAAAGTGGAAAACTTTGAGAAACATCGAACTGATATATAATTTTAAAATACGAATATAATATGTATTTTATTTTATAATATATATTTATAGAGATACATTTAATATTGAAATATTTCTATAGCAATTTGAATAATCAAAAATATATATCATTTATTTGCATAATCGTGTACTTGCATATTCGTATCTAATCACGTATACTAGATTATTCTCCATTTACCCTGACACCGTATATATTTTAAGCTTATTTCAAGTATATTTAATCGTTCTACAATATACATAATTTCATATTATTGTTATAATTTTCAATGTTAAATTTAAAACGAATAAATATGTGTTTGATAGATCAATAAAGAATGTATGCACTATTAGTAGATTTTTTTTTATTTCTTTTCTTTTCTTTTCTTTTTTTCATTATTGTAATGTATAAAAAATAAATAAAACTTGTTAGAGAAAATGTTGAATAAAAAATATGACGAAGCACGTTCATCAAATAAAAAGATTGATAAATTTTTTTTTTTTTTTTTATTCAATCACCTTTAGTGCAAACATTTTATCATTATATTTTATTTGCAATGTGTATTTTTTTTTACGATCAAGCGAATTATTTTGTTAGATTTTTATTCATATTTTCTTTTTTCCTCTCTGAAATATATATTTTTTGTTATCACAGAGAAAGAAAAAGAAAGAAAAAGAAAGAAAGAAAGAGAAAAATCTTTTGATATTTATTTTAATAATTCGTCATAATTATTCTCTACTACGGTTTGTTTTATTTCGTTTTTTTTTTTTTTTTTAAGTTTAATTGCGACAGGAAATATTTTTGCTTGACATTAAATTTAACAATTTCACGGTTATTGTAAATCTCGGTCAAAATTGAAATTGGAGAAAGAGAAAGCAAAAGCATTAACACAAACACATGTGGTACATATATACCACAGGTATTAACGTATCACATACGTTCATATAGAAGAATAATATATATAATGCATTATAAATTATTGATTTCTATATCTCGACGTAATTATCAATTGGCCTTTGTCGTTAAATTCATTCCTATTTTCTACGTATTTGCATTGAAATTTAAATCCATGAAAATGGATATTAAATGTAAAGGCTCTTTCAATTATTCAATGAAATAAATAATATTAAAAAATATATATATAAAATAATAAGAAATATACTTTCGTTTAAATCGTCAACGAGTTGTTGAAAAATTTTACGCTATAAATTAATTTTGGTAAATTTATTTAAACATTCATTATCATCGTGTAATTAAACGTTATTATTCTTTGTGAAATAAATTTCACAAAAAAAAAAAAAAAAAAAAAAAAANAAAAAAAATAACGAGAGAACATCTGATGTTATTCCGATATCGTAAATATTAATTATAGATTAAATTTGATCCAAATATTTCATAATATAAATTATTTATTTGAATATTAATTATTAAAAAGTTCACGGTTGTTTTATTATTAATATTTTTTTTTTTAAGTTTTGAAACTGTGTTAAAACAATAAAAGAGTGAGTTATGTTAGGCTCATAATTTTTCAACTCGACGAGTGCTGAATATTTTTATTTCAAATGTTTTGTAGGAACAGAATAATTTATTATTAACTAGATTCTAATAATAAATTATATTTTATATTATATATATTACATATTTTATTTAATTATTTATTATATAATATATTTAACATATATTTATTTAAATGAAATAATTTATTAATTAAATTTATTTAAATTAAATTTAAATTAAAAAATATTAATAAAATATATATTTATATATAATATTTATATAAATATAAAAAATAATAAAAAAATAATGTAAATATTAACAAACACGTATATGCTTCGAACGATAATGTTAGTAATTGCTACCAAACGCATATATGCGTTTGTAATACTCAAAGGGTTAATTTTTTTTTTTTGTAGTAAAGATAAATTAAAAAATATTTTAAAAATGATATCTATATACCTTGATCCGTCTGATAGATTTGCTGCTATTGTTATTAACATTGACGTGGACGGTTATGGAATCATCATGAGTATAAATTGCACGATCCAATCTTGCCTCTAAACCAACATGTCCATCACTCAATAAAAATGGTTTTTCGATGGCAGCTTGTGGTACTATATTTTCTATGACAACAAAGTATCATATATCCCTCGATAAATCTTTCATTATTATTCTTTCTTTAAATCAACAAAATATTGAATAAATTCACAGTGAATAGAAAAACGTACCAACTTCATCGACAATTTCATTGGTTGAAAAGGAACTTCTCATTTTGCACGTTTGAATCTTTGGAATTATTCTTGATGCAGGAACACTGTACATCGTGAGACATGGTAATGGTGGTTTCGTAGTTCGTTGAATCACTCTAATCCCCATTCTTATGGTTGATTTTTCATGCAACTTATCTTCCGGTCGATCAGCTTATATGCAGCAATAATAATTGATAAAATAAATAATACTGATACTGAAATATACTTATATTTTCTTTTTGTTCATTTTTTTATATGCATGATTTATTTTGTAATCTAATTTTATTTGTAAAAGAAAAAGAAAAAAGACATAAAAAAAAAAAAACTACATAGAAAAAACAACGGATTTCGCTTGTTTTTTTGTTTTGTTTTTTATTGATCAATTTGTTAGTTTATTTATTTTTTATTTTGTCATTGTACTCACCCATGTAAACTCTGATATCGTAACTCGTTCCAATGGGTGCACCTGTATATTCTTTAGCAGGTACCAATTGCACCGATGGCGGTGCCACAGGTGCCAGTTTCATGGTGAATGGGTAAGCGTTTGGTCCCAATTTTTTTATCAATGCTTCCTGAAAAACAAAAATAAGAGAAACAAAAAAGAAAATTCGTATCAATTTGTTAATTGCATGCAATTTAATTAAACGTCAATAAATTTATGTTTTCTTATGCGTACGCGTGTATGTATGTATGTATGTATGCGTTTATGTATGCGTGTATACAATTACAAAATTTAATAGAATATTTTGTAAAATTAATTATTTCTCTTTTTTTTCAAATGATTTCAATTATTATTGTTGATCTTTTCTTTCATATTTACCGATGAATTTTTGAAGTGAAAACTTCTTTAGAATTGGGGTAATTTGAAAATTGTGAAACGGAAGAACGTGAAACCGATGAAACAAAAATAATTAATTAATTAATTAATTAAATTCAATATATAAAAATTCAGTGTAACAATATGTTTATCCACTAATAATTACGAAACTACTCAACTTATTTTATTTCACGTGATTTGTTCCAACTTAGCACATATCACAATTTTTATCGCGATTTTTTTTTTAATTATTTTTTATTACTAATTTAAAGATTTGTATTTAAAGGTTATCTAGGTTTTGTAAGGTTTTTTTTTTAAATAGATGGCACTGTATTACAATTCAATTGTTTCGATCTATTCACGTCTCGAAATTTGGTTTTCTTTGAAGGTTTCAACTTCTACCGTGTGTGATTTGCAAACATCTATTTGTTAGTATTATTATTATTATTATTATTTTTAGTTTATTTATGGATTTGATATATGATAGGATTGAAATGTCGAGAAGCTTTGATGATTTATAACTGGATTACACTTTGTCAGAGTATATTGGATTTACATCTCAACGTATATGTGTTTGTTCGCGGCTGATAACCATTGGATGATGATTATTACCTTTTTCGTTTGTTCAATTGTATTATTTTTCTCCAATATAATATTGACAATGTTTTTTCTTTTTTTTTTTTCTTTAATATAGGATATTTTATACAATATTAATCCTAACGTGGTTGAATTTATGCAACCCTTGTAAATATGCGTTAATAATTCTCAAAAGGGAATGATTATTACACATAAATGTTTATTTTTAATTGAAACATATAATCAAATATTAAATAATATAAAGAGAATAATGATGAAAAATAATTGAAATATTTTAAAACGAAAATATATGCAATGTTATAAATTATTATTTTTAAAATCTCTAATATATTTATTAATGTATATATTTAATTAATTATATAATATATAATTATATATAATTAATTTAATATATATTAATATCATATATATATATATATATAAATAATGGATAAAATTTTTTTAAGCGATTTTATTTGATTTATTTTTATTTTTCCAAGGAAGGTACGTCCGAAACTATTTAATATTAGTACACTATCTACGTATATTTGATCTTAAAAGCATTTTGTATAGTTAACGATCATAATCCGAAATCAAACAGATGTTAATCCTTCACTAATATTCTATGAAGCGTTATCCTTTGGTTCCTAGAATCATATTCTATATATATGTATAACACGTGTATAATAACTATTTTAATATAAGTAGAGTGCATTAGAGATTAAAATAATTATAAATTAATCAAAAAGAATGTGTGTTTTTACTTGAAAACCCCAAATTACCATAAATAGAACAAATACTATGAGCTTTTAGTTAACAATAGACACTTTTATCGATAATTAACAATTACTTTAATACTTTAATGCATTCTACTTATATTAGAACAGTATTAGACACGAGTTATATAGAGGGTATTAAAAAAAAAAAAAAACTATTAAAAAAAAAAATCATTATACACACACCCTGTATATACATCCTAAATTCTTACAGAATAGAATCTTATAATTTATTGTTTATTCTATCGTTAAAAGAAACAAAATATCAAACTTTCTACATAAATTTTATTCGATCAATTTAATTATAATCAATTGTTATTATTTTTTATTTTTTTTTTCTATAGTTTTATATTTTCTTTTCAAATGCCGATACTCGATAACAGTTTCTATTAACTTTTATATTTGAAAAACGAAACCTTACGAAGTTTAATTTTTATCGTACCGATAAAAAGAAAAATCATCATATCTCCATCACATATAGTACTATCGTATAGTATTATTTTTTCGAAGGAAAATTCACAAGTTGAAAGGTCATAAGAAGAGAGTGTAGGAGAAATAGATGATGGGTAGTAGGTAGGAGGAGGGTGGTGGGTGGGTGSTTGGGGTGGGTGTTAAAGGAAATGATTGATGAACCATACCAAGGGTGCCAAGTCATAACGAGCTTTTCAATCGTGATTGACTCGTTTGTAACAGGAATTGTAATTATTGGAACTGTCGGCGGACGTTTGTTTCATACGTTCCCAAAATTTTTTTCAATTTTCTATTTTTACTTTTATTTTTTTTATTTTTAATCTTCCTAAATCTCTATTATTATTATTATTATTATTTATAATAATATTAATTTATATTTATTAGTAAAATATTGGTAATTGTGATTGGAAATTGAATATTATGAATAGAAAGGTTAACGTCAAATGTGAATTCAAAAGCGCCTGAATCTATTCAACCGTTGATACGCGTATACTGAAACGGGTTGCATAAATACAGGCGTCGAATGAATTTAATGTTTTCTATGTAAAATTATATATATATTTTTTTTTAACTGAAACATTTGTCACAACATATGAGTGTTTAATAAAAGATATAAAATTTGATATTTGTTTGCAACGAATTCGTTTATAACTGACCAGTATTACTATCGGATTTTCTTCTTTCTCGTATTTTCACCTCTGTGATATAATTAATCGCCACAAATTGTTCACCGGTATTTAAATCGAATTAACGCGATGTCAAAATTAATAATAAATTTTGCTATTTCCTCGTTACAGATGATTCATTTTAAATGGTGCATGCACACACCGTTGTGTTTGTGTAGCAAATGAAACTAAACTAAACTAAACTAAACTAAACTAAACTAAACTAAACTAAACTACTACGTTCACTTTCGATTGTCGATCGTTATAAATAACGTTCGCGAACGTAAATCAAACATAAATCGATAACTGTTATCGAATTAAATTGCCAACTACGATTTTATATTATTATTTTAATCGTTTTATTCTTTTTTCCCTTGTTTTATCGTTTTCGTAGTATGTTGTTCAGTTTAAATGATTTTCTCTCATCCATTTTGTTTTTTTTTCTTTTCTTTTCTTTTCTTTTTTCATTTCCCCGTGAATTCCTTGCACGATCGTCTCGTTAATGATCCACTCAACCCTGTCTCTAGGCCCTTTCCCTTTCTCCCATCCCATCCGACTAAACCTTCCAACATTATCCCTTATTTCCTTTTTTCGTTTTTATGTAGAAATTTGTCTTTTCTTTTCTTTTCTTTTCTTTTCTTTTCTTTTCTTTTCTTTTCTTTTCTTTTCTTTTCTTTTCCTTTCCTTTCTTTATCTCATCTCTCATTCGCACGAACGCGAATTTTCTATTACTGCCAGTGAACATAATAAATATTACTAAAACGTTTCAACTCCTCCCTTAGTAATTGTCTACAAAAATTGTACCGGGAATATGTTAAACACGTCTATGAGATATATCTTCTTTCCTGCGTGAGAATAAAACGAAGTATTTTTGCATTATCTTTATTCTCTTTCTCTTTCTCTTTCTCTTTCTCTTTCTCTTTCTCTTTCTATTTGCATATTATACTAAAAAACACACACACCGAATATACCGAATTACACACACCTACTGTAAAATGCTATTCCCATTTTTTTTAATGCGTGAAAATAATTATAATTATGTTTAATTTATTCATTTCTTTTTTCACACCATTGCATTTATAATTCTCTCCCCCCCCTCCTCCTCCTCCTCCTCCTCCTCCTCCCATTGGTTCTTCCCTCTTCTAGCATTTGTTTTTATTTTTCTTTCATTTTATTTGAACCCATATTTTTGTTGTTTGTATTACTTTTTATTCCGAGAAACATACTTTAATATTTATATATTCATTTTCCTTTTCTTCCTCTAAACAACCCCTTCTTGTCCAACCTCTCCTTTTTCCATTCCCACTGGTTGTTTCATTTTATCCTATAGGTACGTTCCTTCATTATTCATCATCTTTGAAGATAACTGAGAAGGGTACGTTAACGTGCAAGCTCGAATGAGATTAAATTGTTAAAGAGGAAACCATCGTTATCACATTTTGATCCATTGGGTACAAATGTAATTATGTTTGAAATGAATGATTTATCATTGATTTTTTTTTTTTTTTTTCTTGAGGATGTATTTTTCCCTTCACACGCAAACCCCCACCCCTCCTTCTCGTCTTCTTCCTTCTTTTTTTTATTTTATTTTTTTTTTTATTTATGATGTAAACCAATCAACGCGAGAGTAGTTTATGGATTATTTCCGAGAGTGGAAATTCGTGAAATTCAGGAAACGGCAATGTTGTTTTCAGTGAAATTCATTTTAAATCATATTGCTGCGAACGAAAGAAATAATAAAACGAGAGATAGAAAAAGAAAGTTAGTAACACGGTGATTTAGTTTTTATATCTTTTTTCTTTTTTCTTTTTTTTTTTATTTTATATATAAAAGTACACGTTTGTTTTCTTTCTTTTTTTTAAATTTTATTTTATATTAATAAGACTTATTAACTTAATCCTTTTCCTCGTATACAACATTTGGGAAGGGGGGGAGGAGAGTGAAACGTTTTAAACAAATCATCGGAATAACTCGATTGCTATAGGGGATAGAAAAAAAAAAAAAAAAGAAAATGTGTCGGACGAAATATATTTGGTTTCGAAGGGGTGGAATAATCCCACGTTAAAAGATCTTTTTTTATTATTCTTTTTTTTATTTTTTTATCTGCGAATATGTAGAGGACGTACGAAGGTCAACTACAGTATTTTTTTTCTACTCTTTACCTTTTTTTTTTTTTTTTCACGTTTTTGTCCAATGGGACATTTCACGTCGCGTACAATGAGCTATGCTAGGGATATTCTACTATTATTTATTACAAAAAAAAAGAAAAATAATAAAAACGTGTAACGTAGAACACAGTAAATGTACGTCATACTGTATAAACACGTAGGTATGTTAAAAAGTATTGAATTCAACGTAGAAAATCATTTTTTTTTTTTTCTTTTTTATTTCATTCCAAAACTCACTTTTATTTTAAAACGAATCAACCAAAAAAAAAAAAAAAGAAAAGGAAGAAAATAAAAAGTATTATTTCAATCGTTAAAGTTGAAAAGTATTTAACTACTCATCATCCTCTGGGTACGTCAAACGAGTTTATGTCACCCATCGAAATCGAGTAAGTCTCGTTTTTGAAATATTTGTAACCTTTTTTTTTTTCTCCTTTATTCTTTTTTATTCTTTTTATTTTTCCAATAACAATCGTATTTTTTCAATATGGCGTGTTTTAAAATATCACACTTCGGGTATATTCATCGAAAAGNAAAAAAAGAAAAAAGAAAAAAAATATCCTATATACCCAACCAAAAAAACGAGCAAAAAATATAAATTTTCCTTCTTCCTCGTTTCTTTTTTATTCTTTTTATTTTTCCAATAACAATCGTATTTTTTCAATATGGCGTGTTTTAAAATATCACACTTCGGGTATATTCATCGAAAAGAAAAATTGTATTTTTCTCTGTCTTCTTGTTCGCATTGGGAATACATAAAGAGGATCCTATGTATATGTACATGAATGAATGCATACATGCATTATATATACAGTTGGTCATAGTAATATCGTGAAGAACTTTACATACTTCATTTGCATGCGGTAAAATGAGGATGATTTTATCAGTCCAAGGAGACTACTACTTTTACTACTACTTTTACTACTATTACTACATCTACTATTCGTTATTCAAAAGAAACTTACTATTTTTTAAATATTATTTACAAATTTCGTTTTTCGAAGTTTTTCTTTTCAAAATTTGTCATCGATTCGTTTCATTTCTTATATTCATGTCTCATTATCAATATTTCCTTTGTTATGATAGTTTTTATTATGTTAACACTAGATATACCAGACCAGTCATTTTCACTGGTCGACCATTTTAATTCAAAATGTCTACTTCATGTAACATTTAGATTTCTGTAAATAATTCAGCGTTTTGTTATTTAAAATGTCTATAAATCCATTTATCTATTAAAATTATTATTTTTTTTTTTTTTTAACATTTTTTGTTATTTTTTTTAAGAGTAAATAATAATTGGAAGCTTTAAAAAAGCATTTTTGTTATACATCAGTCATTTTGACTGATGTGGTAGAAATAGGTATACTGAAAATGGTGGTATATCTAGTGTTAAATAAATATTTAAAGTTTTATTCTTCTCATGTTACTTATTGTTAGATATTGTTTTGCAAATGAAATGAATCTTCATTTTCATTAGAACATGAAACGTTTTATTTATAATGTGACCATTGTGCCCATAATTATGAAAGTGGTTCTAAGTCATATATCTCTTGTTTCGAGATATTTCAAGATTTATATTTGAACACTCTATATGAATTCTATATAATATTGAAATAACAAACATTATCTAACGATTTATTTTTGATAATATCGTGAAAATTATATTGAATTTATTTAGTTTATAATAATGTTGTGCGTAATAACTGATAAACTCATTTTTTATTCATTTTGATTTACAACATTTTCATAATTATGGGCAATTCAATTATTTATTGATATGAGACAATTTA